TTGATCCCATCCCTCCTCATGACTGTTCTAGAGCGGGACCTTCATCGGGCCCGTGTCCTCCGTACCCATGCTGCTATTCTCGGGCTTCTTCGTCAACTTCAACACCATCCCGCCATACCTCCAGTGGTTGTCGTACTTGAGCTACGTGAGGTACGGATTCGAAGGTGCCATGGTGGCCGTGTACGGGTACGGGCGGAAGAAGCTGAGCTGCTCCGAGCCCTACTGTCACTACCGCAGCCCGACCAAGTTTCTTCAGGCCATGGACATGGCAGATGCTTACTTCTGGGTGGACATGGTGGCACTCTTGGTGTTTTTTGTCGTTCTACGGTTTATCACGTACTTTATACTGCGCTTGAAATTGCGATCAACTCGGTGATTCATGGAGATCACAAAGGAAGGTAAGCGCTCAAAGTTGCTCTTTGGCGGTGGCATTCTGAAGTCTGGAACTCCACAAGGCAGTGAGTGTTCTTAAGTGTTGTTAATCGAGGCTTTCAAAAAGTCCTCATGGGTGTGCTGTCTTAAAGTCTGTTATTTTTATATAAAACTCCAAATAATATTAGAGATATTTTAGGTATGGCTGTGATATTACAGGTGCTTTGTGTAGATTGTTCCATTATGAAATTGCATTTGTGTGAAATAGCTGTGATATGATAAAATGTTGAGTTTTCCCTCTTCCCAATGAGCAAAGTGGAAATGGTGTATGACAATTTAATTAAGGTACTGTAAAACGAGAAGATTGAAATGTCTGTAGCATCATATCCAGTCATATTCTGATGTTATATTGCTTGGTCAGGCAAGTATTTGTACCACATTGTGTTCATACAACTTCTTGAGCATTGCTTACATTATTTCCATAATTATGCAAGACAAAGCGTATCAGGTTTAGAAAATTTGATTGCCATTTTATGTGATAGCATTTTCTATTTTCTTAGTAATATTATTGATTAAATACATGCAACAATGCTGGTATTTTACAAGCAGCAAATAAAAAGTGTAGTGGAAAACAGATTTAAAGTTCGTCAATTATTTAAACATACTCCAACATTAGGAACACCACATGATTAAATTACAATTATCTACACGAAGACAAGAACAAAAGGTTTCCATATACATATTTATTCAAGAAATTTAACACGAGCAGGGTCAATTTTAACAAAAGCAGTAATTATCAAGGTACAATTGATCATTTAAATGACAACTTTAAAAACTTAGCACACATGCCTACCACCTCTAAACAATAGTTGAAAATGTGAGGACAGCTACAAAATGTTAACATACATGATGGCCCGAGTTAAACAGAACATTGTATTTCAAAGGATTCCCAAATATGTATCAATAACATAGAAATACAAAACAAAATTGAAAATTCTATATACTGGAAAACAGTAATACAGACATAAATTTACAAAACTGTTTAAATAGTTAAAGTGCAATGGAAGGTAAAGTAGCTATACCATTGGAATTTTAATATCGGGAATGTGAGCGACTGGTTCTACGGCGAGGGGACCTGGAAGTACTTCTACGGCGAGGTCTGAATGATGGTGATCTGCTACGGCGCGAGGATGTGCGCCCAGCAGATCTGCTTCTACTTCGCTTCTTGCGAGTCTTGGAGGATGGAGATCGACTTCTACTCTTTTTCTTTAATCTGCTACTTTTGCCTCGTGACCTAGAACGAGTGCGAGAGCGAGAACGGGATTTGCGTGATTTCTTTTTTTCTTTCTTTTCCTTGTCCTTATCTCTATCTTTTCCTCTCTCTTTCTCCTTTACTTTCTCTTTCTCCTTTTCCCTATCCTTTTCTCTTTCTCTCTCCCTTTCTCTTTCCTTCTCCTTCTTTTCTTCTTTCTCTTTCTCCTTCTTTTCTTCCTTTTCCCTTTCTTTTTTCTCTTCTTTCTCCTTTTCTCTCTTCTCCTCTTTCTCCCTTTCTCTCTTCTCCTCTTTCTCCTTTTCTCTCTTCTCCTTCTCTTTCTCCTTTACTCTTTCTTTTTCTTCCTCCTTCTCTTTAGTCTCCTTCTCCTTCTCCTTCTCTTTCTCAATTTCTTTTTCCTTTTCCTTTTCAATTTCCTTATCATCATCCTTAGACTTTGAACCTTCAGCTCCACTTGCTTGCGCATCACCATTTACTGAAGTGTCTTCTGTCACTTCTATGTTTTCAGAAGACAGCTCAGTTGACTCATTTTTCTTTTCTATTTCTTTTGCCTCTTTTTCACTTTCCTTGTCTTTCTTCTCTCTTGATTCCTTCACTTCTCTCACTTCTTTCTCCTTAATAGGTGGGTTCTTATCAGAATTTTTTTCTTCTTTACCTTCCTTAAGATCCTTTGAACTCTTCTTTGACGAGGACTTGTGAGGTTTAGACTTTGATTTAGAACGAGATCTTCTTGATCTTGAACGGGACCTCTTCCTACTTCTTGATCTAGACCTTCTTTTTCTGGGTGATCTTGATCTACGCCTTGATCTGGAACGAGACCGTTTTCTTGATGGAGACCGAGATTTATGCCTGCGACCACGTGATCTGGATCTGGATCTCCTTCCCCTTGACCTAGACCTTCGTCTTGATCTTGATCTTCTCCTTCTATGTGAACGTGACCTTGATCTTCTTGACCTTGATCTAGATCGGCTCCTCCTCTTTTTGTCTTTGGCTAGCATGCCAATGACTGGGTCAATGGCTGCAGAGATGTAATTGTGAGCCTCCTTCACTCGACTCATAGCTTCCTCAATTTCACGCTGAGCAGCTTCGTTGGTTTTAGCTTGAGGTTTAACTATGGCCTGAGTAGAGTGGGTCACTGATATTGCTTTACCATTCAACTCATGTTCATTCAGCTTCAAAGCTTTAATGATATCTGGCTGCTCTGTGAATTCAACCAGAGCATAGCGATTAGTATCATCATCTCGAGAGCAGAATTTAACATACTTCACTTCACCAGCTTGACTAAAAAATTCCATTAAGGCTTCACCAGTAGTACTATCGTCCAAGTTAGAAACAAGAAGTGTGCGACGGATTTCTTCAATCTTCTTGATGTCATAAGATGTGGGGAGCTGAGGGTATGTCGCCAAGCCTTCAGCCTCCAAATTGGGATCTACAGTGACAATATATTGATTGGGTGGGGTGCCCTCTACTTGATTGACGACGTGGGCAGGTAGTTTGGGTTCAATTTGTAGGCCAGGTATCATTGACCCAGAGGCCATGATTTCCAAAGCACGCTGTTCATCAGGGATCTCGCTACTGCCCACTGGGATGACAATTAAAGCTCTGTCAATGAAAACTGTGTTCGTGAGGTGCTGTGCAATTCCAACACAGGTAGAGTCACTGTACTTGACATAGCAAATCCGAGATTGAACTGGTACAGCAACATCACGGATAGTTGGGTACAATCTTATGTCTTCGACCTTCCCAAGAAATCCAAACAACGTTGACATCTGATCTTTTGTTGCTTGTGGAGCAATGTTGGTTACTTGCACGACTTTGGTGACCATTTTTGCGGTTTGAGAATCTTTAAATCTCAATTAACTTAGCAAACTTTGGTTAGGTTAGGACACCGATAACCGGCACACTTACGCCCGCTTATACTCCAACAGATGCGCCTTTTTGAAGGGCTCCGCACCTTAAGCACTACATATTCGTCTTCACCGTAATTGCACTACATTTTTCACAAATTAGGCACTGTGGAAATAGCAAAAAACAGCACTATTTGTTGAAAATCCCTTTCACCAACGCGTCGCTAACAAACGAATTTGTGTCGTCGTCGTCGATCTCGATGTAAACAAGAAGGCGCAGTGCAAGTCACGTGACAGACTTCTCAGCTGGCGCGGGAGGTCCCACTGACTGAAGCTGAAGATTCGAATGTCAAGCCTAATAAAAGTTCTTAAAACGATTGCGACACATGTCGCAATTTTGAGCAACCTGAACTGGACAAAACTGGTTTGATGCTGTATGCTTCCAGGTCAAACAGGTAAATCTCTGGGGAAATATTGCACATGTTGCAGAACCACGTATAACCAGGGATTAAAAAGTAAATT